TTTAAAAACTAAATACAATACAAAAAGATATTTTTAGAGCAAGCAGAATTATGCACCGCAGAATTCTGGACACTCTAAACAGAACTAACAAGTATAATAATTAATTAGAAATATGAACTGCAACTGTAATTTTGTTATAAATTCTGTTAGTTAACAATTAAAGTTTGGCAGAATTCGAATATAAATTTGGGGTAAATTTAAAAAAATATAGATTTTTAGCAGAATTGGGATTTAATTTGGGCAGAATTCGAATGTAAAATAGAGAGAATTAGGGTTTAATTTAGGCAAAATAAATTTAAATATAAATTAGAATATAAATTTAGACAGAATTAAAATACAAATTTGGGAAAATTAAAATATAAATTTGGGCAGAATTAGAGTATAACTTATGAATTAAAATTTATTTAAGCAGAATTTGAATATAAATTGATTCAAAACTAGTTAAAATTATCACAAAAATGGCTCTATTTCAGCTTAAACTTGTTAAATTTTAATTTATAAAATGTCAAGAAAATTCGACAAACTTTTAAATTTTGGTTTACTGATTTCCTTTTTTGTATTATCTCTTAAACGGTTTTGCAGGCAAATTTGCTTGCAATTTCCAAATTTAGATGTAGATTGGTTTATATTTTTTTACAAAATTAACCAATCGTTTTCCTGCCCTAGATAGATATTGATTAACAATCAATTAACATATTTGATTAATAATTACGCCTTATATATTTCAAAAAAATATGATACTAACTATTTAAAAAAATTTCTCAATTTTTTTTTCACATATGATAATTTAATAAATAATTGAGTTCTTTTTTTCATTATTCTTTGTTTCACAATAGAAACTTTAATATTTAATGAATAGAATAATGATGATGTGTATATTGTAGAGCTATCACGTAGTATTCATAAAAATTGTGAGCAAAATGAATCAGATAATAATAAAAATGATGATATTCAGGGTAGAAATATTCAAGAAATTCAAGTTGAAAGAATGAGAGAACATAGTAATTAATACTGCTCAAAAAAAAAAAAA